ATGATTTAAAGTAGGAAGGAAGGGCCGGGCGCAGTGGCTCATGCCTGTAGTCCCAGCACTTTGGGAGGCCAAGGTGGGTGGATCATTTGAGGTCAGGAGTTTTGAGACCAGCCTGGCCAACATGGTGAAACCCCGTCTCTACTAAAAATACAAAAATTATCCGGGCATGGTGGCGCACACCTATAATCCCAGCTACTCAGAGGCTGAGGCAGGAGAATTGCTTGAATCCGGGAGGCGGAGGTTGCAGCGAGCCGAGATCACACCACCACTGCAGTCCAGTCCGAGCGACAGAGTGAGACTCCGTCTCAAAAAATAAAGTAGGAAGGATGTGCATAAGTTATATGAAAATACGACACTTTTTATATCAGGGATTTCAGCATCCCTGGATTTTGGTATCCTCAGTGTGTCCTGGAACTAACGTCCTACAGATAACCTGAGAAACAATGTAGAAGGAGCTCTTCTCCTTCTCAAATGATTAATGGCTTTCCATAGCCCCTCAGTAAACTTTTTAGCATGCCATTCAGTCTGGTTCCCAGCCTTTTGGGTCACTTACCACATCCTTCTCACCGTTGAGACTACTCAGAGTTCCTCACACTTGCCATGTACCTTCATGGTTTTGCGCATGCTGTTCCCTCAGTTTGACATGGCCCTTCCCTGGTTTCCACCGATCACACGTGACTCACACTTGCAGCCCAGTTCATGCCTCCCTGAAGCTTTCCCTGATACTTGGGTCAGACCTAACTCTCCCTGTGGCAGCTCTGTTAGAGTTTGCATCCTGACCTGCTCTGGCCTTCCATTATCAACACAGTGTTCTACAACCTGCTTGCTTTATTTTGTATTTATTTTTTTGAATTTTGAACTTTTTGAGACAGGGTCTTGTTCTGTTGCCCAGGCTGGAGTGCAGTGGTATGATCATAGCTCACTGCATCCTCGATCTCCTGGGCTCAAGCAATTTTCCCACCACATCTCGAGTACTTGAGACAACAGGTGTGCACCACCATGCCTGGCTAATTTTTCTTTTCCCTTCCCTCTGCTCCCCTCCCCTTCTTTCTCCCTCCCTCCCTCCCTCCGTTCCTCCCTCCCTCCCTTCATCCATCCTCTTCCCTCCCCTCCCCTTCCTTCCCCTCCCTCCCTTTTTTCCTCCTTTTTTTCTTTCTTTTTTCTCTTTTTGTAAAGACAGGGTCGAAAACGCTTCAAGCAATCCTGCTGCCTTGGCCTTCCAAAGTGCTGGATTACAGGTGGGAGCCACTGTGCCCGGCTCTGTATCCTGCCCTCTATACCTGTGGAATGTGCCAGAATTAAAACTCAAAGGGCTTGAGGCCTGCACCACTATATGGCTGTATGACTTTGGATAAGTTACTCTATTTGTCTAAACCACAATTTAGAGGATATTCACCTGTTTCACAGGATTAATTAAAAATTAAGATAATATTTTAGAATTTTCTTGGTAAACTCAGCAGTTATAAATGATAGTGAATTTGGTAAATTCTTCACTACAGGGATGTCTCTGAAGGCAGGCAGGAGTGTGTTATACTTCGCTGTCTTAGTAAATGTTCACTGCTCTTTGTGTTCTGTGCCAGCACTTATCACAGAGCCTCACAGAGTCAATTTTCAGTAATTTTGCCAGCTGAGTTGAAGTAAAGTAGGGAACTGGTAGAGGACAGAGCCGTGATTCCTATTTAGGGAGAGCACCTCAAAGGCAGGGGCTCTGAGGCACCAGTAAACTCAATAGTCGAGGACTTAGGATATACAGGAAAGGGAGTTGATGTTGAGTTATGGCTGGGGTGGGGGAGTTGTTTGTGAACAAGATGGGGACCCTTGGCAAAGTTTTGCCTGGTGACTAGAATTCAAGCTTTTATTTGACTGGGAAAGAGTTAATAACTTCCCAAGACTGCTATTATTTGCATATTACCAAACTCTGGCCTTTATACTCATTCTGAACACCCACAGATTTGTATATCTGTATCCATGCCTACGCATTTCTATTATCTTTTTAAAACCACTTCAGCATGCCTGTTATATTGGTTGCACCACAGTTTTACATAACTCTGGACACAAATTTAAAATGAAATGGCAGAACACAAGCAGCAACGGTTTAGACAAGGCTATTTATAATTCTACAGTTCAGTCATTTATTGTCTTCACTAGAAGGTCATGGATTATTTTATACAGTTATAAATGCAAAGAGCTCTTCCAAGGAGAATGAAATCACATGTTGAACTCTTCTGAGCAAAGGTGCAATGTAATTGCAAAGTGGAACATAATTATCACTGGGCAGAGAACAGTCTTAGGAATCTTCCTTATTGGCAGACCTTAAGCTACAATGGTCTTATTCCAGACTGGGAATGTAAAACAGAGAAGGAGGTGAAGAGAGACAGAGATATGCAACATTCCACCAAGAAAGGACTCTTCCCTTGAAAGTGCTGGATTTTCACTCCAGGAAGGGGAATAGGGTTTATGGCCGATCTCCTTGGCACTCATTCTCTCTGTCAGTTCTTCATTTTGAATGGCGGTGGTGGTATGTCCAGCTAGAGGGAGGAATCATGATTGTCTAAACTAGTCATGGCCATCCCAGTCTTTGCTAGATACTTGAGTAATATCTTTCCCAGTTTGTTCTGGCCAGTGAGATGTAAGAGAAAGTCGTCTGAGTTCTTGTGAGAACTGCTTTATTTCATAATTAAAGAGAACAACTAATAGAATACTTCCTTCCCTTCCTGTTTGGGTGAGGATACTGCGGGAGCCATCCTGCATCTATGAAGGAGAAGTCAAGGGAATCTGAGAGACAACAGCCCAGACCCCCATCACGGAGCTGCACGTGACCCTGGAACTTAAGTTTCCAGTTGTTCCCTATATATATATATATATCCAGTTGCAACCAATATAACAGGCATGCTGAAGTGGTTTTAAAAAGATAATAGAAATGCGTAGGCATGGATACAGATATACAGCTACCATTGTCTTTATGGTGCCTTTTCCCCCATCAGGGAGGAAGGTGCCCTGCTTCAAGTCTTTCCAGTTAAACTGCAGTTTAACAGAGAAAATTGCCTTATGAACAGCCAAAAGTCAGTACAACTTAAATATGGCAGTTTATCTCAGGACATCTCCCAGCACACGTCCTCCTGAGAGCAAGTTGCTCTCAAAACCAAGGCAATGGGAACATGGTCAGAAACATGACTTCTGTATTTTCCAGTTCATACACTGAAGACACCATTCATTCATTCATTCATTCATTCATTCATTCATTTGGAAAGTCAGCCAGTGAACAAACATTTATTAAGGACCTTGCCAGTCCCAGGTGCCACTATGTGCTGGGTACTCGAGTCACAAGCTAGAGTCCCTGTCCTCGTGGAGACAGACATGAAACAAACATTCTACCAGAAAGTAATGATAGTTGAGATCAGTGCCCTGAGAGCAAGTAACTGCAAGATAGGGGTGGGGACAGTGGCAGTGATCAGAGACAGCTTCTCCAAGGGAGGAACATGTAAACTGAAGAAACCATCTAGTCTAGTTTACTTCAGGATTATTCAGAATTCTGCAGATGAGAAATGAGAACAGTAGGGATACAGAGAGGGAGACACGAAGAAATATAGGAGGAGAAATGATGGAACTTGGTGATTAATCAATGTGGAAGTGAGAGAGTGGGTAGACTCAAGGATGTCTCCCAGGCTTGGGCCACTGGGTGGATGGAGACACATTCATTAGCATGGTCAATTACAAAAATGGGCCCCATTCTCCACCACTCTCTGCTTCCTTGCCCTTTTCACATGTGACTCTTCTGCTGTTTCCACAAAGGGGTGGAGTGCATTTCCCTATTCCTTGAATTTGGACTGGCCCCATGACGTTCTTTGACCAACAGAATGCAGCAGGAAGGGATGGGTTCGACCTCAAGGCCTAGGTCTCAAGAGGCCTTGTCCATTTCCACCCACACTCTCGGAACTCTGCTCAGCTACCACGAGGGTAGGCCCTGGCCAACCTGCTGAAAAGAGACACGTAACTCAGTCACTACCCTCCCTCATGACAGCCAACAGCTGCCAGACATGAGTAAGGCTATCCAAGGGCAGCCAGCCCCCACCTCCAGAACCTGGAAGCTCCCTGCAGATGCACCAAAGGGCTCAACAACTGTAAGTGATTGTTGTTCTAAACCATCTAGTTTGGTGTGGTTTGTCATGCAGCAAAAACTGGTACAACCAGGGTAGAGAAAGGTGTGAATAAGGGTGGGGCTGTCTAATAGGCAATTAGGTGAGACTGGAACACAGGAGGCCAGAAGCCAGAAAGTCTTCTAACTGTTCAAGGTTAAAGTCCTCAGGCTTCTGCCGTGCTGTTTCTGGTGGGCTCCGGAAATCCAAGAACCAGTCCATAGCTCTCTTTTGTGTCCTGTTCCTCACACTGCCCCCCACCCCACCCTAGACCCCACCATGCACCTAGAAGTAAATACTTGGATAATGAAGCAAATGCATGACTCAAGCACATAGGACAGTATTAATGATGGACAGTTAGTGGAGAACCAGGGCCGCCAGCCGGTGGAGTGCTCGTGAGTGTTCAGGAAGGAGCCAGTGCAATCCCTGCCTGCAGAAGAGGGGCTGGTAATGGATACTGAGCTGCTAACCATCCCTGCCCCTGAGGGGACTTCATCTATCCCTAGCAAGGTCACAGTAACTGCACTTGCCTCCACTGATACTAATTCAGAGCTCTTGCCCCCGCCCTCCCTTTTCCCATATTAACGTCATCCGTTAGCACCTTTTCTTTTCTTTTTTTCTTTTTTTTGAGACGGAGTTTCGCTCTTGTGGTCCAGGCTGGAGTGCAGTGGTGCCATCTCGGCTCACTGCAACCTCCGCCTCCCGGGTTCAAGCGATTCTCCTGCCTCAGCCTCCCGAGTAGTTGGGACTACAGGCGCCAACCACCACGCCCCGCTAATTTTTGTATTTTTAGTAGAGACAGCATTTCGCCATGTTGGCCAGGCTGGTCTTGAACTCCTGACCTCAGGTGATCTTGCCCACCTCGGCCTCCCAAAGTGCTGGGATTACAGGCGTGAGCCACCGCGCCCAGCCCCTTAGCACGTTTTAAAAATAAAAAGGGCAACGTTTTACAGGAATCTGCCTCTCCCATTGTTGCAGAAACATCCAGCTGATCGCACTTTTTCTTCTTCTCTCGCCAACTCGTAACTCATCTCAAGTTCACCCACAGGTCTAGTGACTCCGGCTGGCTGCTGCGGGGTGAGGAGACTCGCAGAGTGCCTGACTAGAGGCCGCCCGCGCGCTCTGGATGGTGGCCGTATCTTCAGGGTCTGGAACCCGGAGCCTCAGTCCTGCAGCAGAGCGCCTGGAGCCGCGAGCAGCGAGCAGCCCGGCGAACCGCACAGCCTCGGCGATAGTCAGCTCCGCGGCCTCTGCTCCCGCCCCTCCCCTCAGCTCCGGGAAGGGGCGGAGACGAGGAGGAGCTGGGGCGGCCGCCGCGCTCCCGGGCGCACCAAGCCCTTTAAAAGCCGCGGGTCTTGACAGCTGTGCTGGCAGCCGCCGCGGTCCCGGACTCCTAGTCCCGCACTCCCCGCTGGCGAGCCGGCTCCGGGTGCGGCGAGACCCAGTCCGCTCGGCTTGCGCGCCGGAAAGCGGGACGCGCTCCATGCGGCCGCTCAGCATGTCGGGGCACTTTCTGCTCTCACCCATCCCCGAGTCCTCCTCGGACTACCTCCTGCCCAAGGACATCAAACTGGCGGTGCTGGGCGCCGGCCGCGTGGGCAAGAGTGGTGAGTGCGGCGGGGACCCCGGGGCGGCTTCGCTCCCCGGCTCCGGCCGCGACCACTGGGGGCGCTGCGGACGGAGAAAGGGAGCTTCGGCCGAAGCAGAGGGCCGGGGGGCGGGTAGAACCCGGCTGCTTTCGCGCTCGGGGGTCCGGGTCAGTCCCGGCCTGCTTCCCCGGCGTTCCCTGGGGCATCTACTCCTGGGCTCTCGGCGGGGTTGGCGCCTGTTCGGGGATGAGGTGCGGGAGAGGTGTCCCGCCAGTCGTACTGGCGGCCGAGCCCGCGGCACCTCAGTTTTGCGGAGCCTCTGGAAGCGAGCAGTGCCCACGGTTCTGCGCCCCTCACTCCCCCCAGGTCGTCGGGGGTTCCTGGGTTTGACCGGCTTGTCCGACTCCTTCGGTTGATTTTCCCATTTCCTTTTTAGCAATGATCGTGCGCTTCCTGACCAAGAGATTCATTGGCGACTATGAACCGAATACAGGTGAGAATAGTTTCACGCTCCCTGCTTTTATGCTTGCGTGTTTCTTTTTCCGGATGGGCGTTTGAGAATTGAAAAGCAAACTCTCCTTCATTCTCCAGGCAAGCTGTATTCACGTCTGGTCTACGTTGAGGGGGACCAGCTCTCCCTGCAGATCCAGGATACTCCCGGGGGCGTCCAGGTAAGAACCGCCAGGGGCAAACAGCTCACTCCCACCCGTCAGACCACCCCGGTGGGCACAGCACGTAGGGCGCCCACGCTGGGCGCAGGGGTCTGAACAAGGCATCTAAACCAACCTGTGCATTTACAGGTAGGAATGGGCTCTCCACAGAGGGGGCCAGTAGTTGGGGTGTTAGAAACTCTCTAAGGGGGAGGCATGGTTAGAAGCAGCCTCCTCCTCTTAAGCACCTGACTTAACTTCACTTTGCAGCCCTGGTGGGCCATCACTACTTAGGCAGGTCTCACCATTTCTTCCAGAGGTAGCCATGGAACCTTTAACAAAGAGAAATACCTTTAAAACAAAACAAAACAAAACAAAAAAACAGGTAGGATTCTAGTGAGAGAGTGTCTTCTCCCCTGGTAAGCTCTGCTTTTTTTGAGACGGAGTTTCACTCTGTTGCCCAGGCTGGAGTGCAGTGGCTGGATCTCAGCTCACTGCAACTTCCACCTGGTAGGTTCCAGCGATTCTCCTGCTTCAGCCTCCCGAGTCGCTGGGAGTACAGGCATCCGCCACAACTCCAACTATTTATTTACTTATGTATTTATTTATATTTTTTTAGTAGAGATGTGGTTTCACTATGCTGGCCAGGCTGGTCTCGAACTCCTGACGTCAAGTGATCCGCCCACCTCGGCTTCCCAAAGTGGTGGGATTATAGGCATGAGCCACAGCGCCGGGCCAAGCACTGCTGAAGTGCTGCTGTTAATGGCTGTTCCCTCAAGTCAGTAATTGCAATCAGATAAGCCCTTGGCAGAGGGTCTAGAATGTAACTTGTTTATTAATCAGTTACTAATTGCTACTCCCTTCTCCAGAGGAAAGGTCTTGTGGAAGAACCCTAAGAAAGGAATTTCTTTCTGTAACATTCTTAAGAAGTGCATGTTAAAAATATTTTTATGGGTTTGGGAATAGATATTTATCTTGGCTTATTTTCAAAGTTTTGTTTATTATGAGTTAGTGTTTCCTAAAACTTGAACCATTCTAGTTTAAGGTCATTCTTCAGTCAGCCATGGTTCACCAGAGACTGCCTGACAAGCAAGGGGTTTAAAAATAATGCAGGGATAACAGCTAATAAAGTAACCCAGGCAGGGAGTTTGCCTGGGAATCTGCTCTTTGCATATCAAAAGCCTGCTTCTGCAGAAGCTGGGTGGAAACTGAAAACTGTGTTTAGCGATTTCTTTTTCAAGTGTTTCTTCAAGGGTTGCCTTGATGTTTTTGAGTTTATCTCCCACTGAGGGTTTCCTTGACTGGATGTCATTTTGATGTTTTCTCAGATCCAAGACAGTCTCCCCCAGGTCGTCGATTCCCTGTCCAAATGCGTGCAGTGGGCCGAGGGCTTTTTACTGGTCTATTCCATCACAGACTACGACAGCTACTTGTCCATCCGACCCCTTTATCAGCACATCCGGAAGGTCCACCCTGACTCTAAAGCCCCTGTCATCATTGTGGGCAACAAGGGGGACCTTTTGCATGCCCGGCAGGTGCAGACACAGGACGGTATTCAGCTAGCCAATGAGCTGGGCAGCCTGTTCCTTGAAATTTCCACTAGCGAAAACTATGAAGATGTCTGTGATGTGTTTCAGCATCTCTGCAAAGAAGTAAGCAAGATGCACGGCCTCAGTGGGGAAAGAAGAAGAGCCTCCATCATCCCTCGGCCCCGCTCTCCCAACATGCAAGACCTGAAGAGACGCTTCAAGCAGGCTCTGTCTCCCAAAGTCAAAGCCCCCACTGCGCTGGGGTGAACTATCCCAGACAGATGCCTCTCCTTTTTAATATGCATTTGTGCAGCTAAAAGACTGGGCTTCTTCCTTTTTAATCACACATTCAGAGTTTATTTTTATAAAAAGATTGATTTTCAAGTACATGTGTATTTCTGAAAATTCAGTGATTGCCTAGAAGCTGGATAAAATTTTGTTTTGTTAAAAGAACTTTTTTTTTTTTTTTTTTACTGTAACCACTGGCCACTTTTCCATTAAAGGCAAAATGGCAACATTGCTCATTGTTTTCTCAATGTCTTTTTATAGAAATTGTACTTGCAGCAGCGCCCAGAACTGTCTATGCTTGCCCTCGGTCTGAACTCTGATTGGTGTCTCGCAGTGGGGAGGAGTTCGTGTAGAGGGAGTCTGTTGTGGGAGAAAGGAAAGTATGTGGAGGAGGAGAGGGATTTGAATAACTGCAGGATGTCTTTAAATGGGACACTGCCACCAGTCATGAAATTGACACTGTGTGATTTTCACGGGAAGGGGTACAGTGTGAGCTGATGCTAAAACGTTACAAGTCATGAGTAACATTTATTGGTGCAAATACAAGTTTATACTCTACGCATATTACAAAACAAAAACCCCTTTTATAGTATTCCTTATGTCAGTAAGTGGGCCCTACCACCCAAAAGTTACCTCAAAATTCTCCTTCCCTTCCAAAAGGGCACCAGATCTGTCCATCCTCATTCCTGTTTTTCTCTAAAGCCTCACTCTCCCTTAATCTAGACCCCCCTTTGACTGGCAGGAAAGACTCATGTTTCTTGGCTTCTAGAATGGCATCTTCTATTTGTCTCTTCACATCAGAACAACCCTACTAAAACTAACCCTAATCATTTTATTTCTATAAAAAACTCAACTGGTTTCCCCTTATCTACTGGTTAAGATAGACAGGAGACATGGCATCAAGATTATTTACCACCTCTCCAGGCTTATCAACCCCTCCTTCCAACACACACACCCCAACAGTCAGTCCATTCCAACAGACTGTCTTTCTCAGCCTGCTCCAGACTCTTTCATGTCTTCCTGTCTTGGCACAAACTATCCCTCTGCCTCAAATATTTTTTCCAATTCTCCATCTAATGGCTTGCTAACTCATCTTTAAAAACTCAAGTCACATGCTACGTTCAGCTCTGGGAGGCCTTCTCTGGTCTTCCTCTATTCCTGGAACATTTGTGTTATAACCCAAGCCTGTCACGTAGCTATTTGTTACTCCATTGTAAGGAGTTCCGCTTGAGGGCAGTAGCTGCATTTTATGATCCTGTATTCCAACCTTCTAGTTCAGTGCTTGCCCATAGAGTGGTAAGTTTTAAGTAAACATATAATGAATAAATGAATGAATACACCATTTATGGTGCCAAGGGTCAATGATGGGAGATTGGGAGATTACCATGAAACAAACTGTTACTTCTGCAAGGCAAGGACAGGTGTTCTGAGTAATTAAAGATTATTAGCTGTGATGGAGAGGGGCTGACATATGCAGCTTCTGGCAATCACAGACCATTATCCTTCCACAAGGACAGCTCTGTCCAGACCTGTGATGTCAACACCGCTTTTCCCTGTAGTTGAACAGCGTCTACCTATACAAAATGGTGTGAAGGGTTAAGAAAATTAGATAATGCATGTCTAAAAGAGTGTCCAAATAATTAAGTAAAATATTAATTTGGTCAGGAGGCTGAGGCAGGAGAATGGCGTGAACCCTGGAGGAGGAGCTTGCAATGAGCAGAGATCGCACCACTGCACTCCAGCCTGGGTGACAAAGCGAGACTCCATCTCAAAAAAAAAAAAAAAAAAAATTCAATTTGGATTCCATCTTTTAAAAAATGCCTCGCATCCTCCTCGTTTGCATGCTCTCAGAACAAAAGCTCCATCATCTGTTCTGCTTCCTGCTGTGCATCTTAACATTGCAGGTGTAGACCCAAGAACAACTGATTCTCCTAGTCCCTGCCATGCCTACAACATGTCCAGATTGCAGCCTGTCACCAGGGACTTCTCTGCCTTCAAGGAACTGAGATCAAACATCCCATGGGAAAAAGTTAAATCGCAATCTAAAAGCTAAAGAATAAGACAAGAGCTGTCCACAGGCCAAACCTATGATCAAGTTTCAAATGAGTGAATGCTAAGAACAGAAAGTCATCTTGAACTCTTCAGGGGAGCAGGCTGTGGATCAGAAGGGTCAAAAGACGAGTCCCAAGGCCATTTCAAAGGGACTCACAGCCTTGTGGGCTCAGGCAGGCTGATGGGCCAAGCAGAAAGCACCCTCTCCTGTCTTCTTTCTCTCCCAGTATCATAAATGATTGACCTCCAGGACTTCATGGCCAGCTTTATTCTCTAGTCCCTGAAACTGGCCCAGCACAGGAGCGGGCTTTTGCTGGTCGTGGAGAAACTTCGTTGTCTGTGGCCGCTCTTTCCCAGGCCTCCCGCTAATCAGCAGTGGGGTCTCCTGGGGATCATAGTGCTTAGGGAGTATCTGGAAGGCTCTTGAGATGGTAGCTCCAGAGATGGAAGAGGTGAGCATGGAGTTATCGGAAGGCGGTTAAACTGGGAAGTTGTGTAGGGAAGAGAGCTGAGGATATGGGCTTGGCTGAGTGCTAAGGAAGCCCTAACAGGGGAAGCTGAGCTCTAAGCCAACCTCCCCTTCCCTCACCAATGGGGAGGGCATAGTCGAGAGAGCCATGGGTGTCATTATTTTGCAGGCAGGGGCAGAAGTCCTGAAACACTGGACAGAACATTGGGTAGAACATTAAAAGAAACTTGGGTGGGTGTGGAGAGAACAGTATCTGTGCATTTTATCTAATAGTTTTGCCTTACCTCTGAGGTGTTATGGCTGGTGCAAGAATTTACCTCTATCCTCATGAGAGAAGTGGGACTGTAGCTTCCCCCACCCACTTCGCCTCCCTCCTCCATCCCTGCCTCTGTGGGAAAATCTGTCTCTGAAACCCCCAGGCCTCCACTGCTGGCATTCGTTCTCCTTCTGGTCAAGGCTCAGTCACTGATTCTGCTTTAAAACTCTGCAGAATGATTTAATTAATGTTGCAATCAGTGTTGTTCTGGAGAAATGGATGCAATCCAAAATGGCTAAATTGTACATCCTGCAAACATTCCGTACTTCACATGCAACTCATGAGAAGCAAACTCAAATAATGGAAAAATAAGTCAATTATAATAGAAGAAGATAAATCTGTTTTGCTTGTGTTTAGGCGAAGGGCACAACGGAAGTTCTAAAGTTTATTAATATCTGTTTAGAGAAATGGATTAAAATAAATACTGGAAGGCAGTGGTAAACAATTGAGCAAATAAAAAAGACAAGATGACTGTTCAGTTACAAATTGGGGCTTGAATTGCTTTTTTGCTCCTTGTTTATGTTGCGATTTCAACTTCTCATTATGCAAAGTTACTAATTCAAATTTACAATGCAAATACATTTTGTGTGATTAATAAACTATTATTACCATTTACTCTCTCTCCAAAAGGTGGAATATTTTGAAAGACTTTGTTAAAATTAGTTTCAAGCTACTGTGGTGGCACTTAGGAAGAAAGATGTGATATGGAAAAAAAAAAAGATTATTTTCCAAACATCATTAATTGAGCTAGGGCCCTAGAAAAAAACTAATCTATGTAAGTGATGATTTGGTTGCAATTGCAAAGCAATTTTCAGCATAACAGAGTAGAAATGTGCCTGCCTTAGATGAAATGTCTAGAAACCTCCCTTGTGTACCCTCTCTTTATGTACTTCTCCTCTAGTAGAAAATCAGCTCTGTTAGGATTTGAGTGAGTCCTCATTTATCTTCAGCTCCACAGCACCTGTTCAAGTGTCCAGTACACTGCAGGATCCTCAAAAATATTGGCTAAGCTGAACTGTTAGAAATATTGGAGTCTCTAAAGTTATTTTTTTATTGTTCATGAGTACAGAGATGTATTAGGGTTCTCTAGAGGGACAGAACTAATGAACAGATATATGTATGTAAAGAGGAGTTTATTAAGTATTAATTCTAACAATCACAGGGTCCCACAATAGGCCATCTGCAGGCTGAGGAGCAAGGAGAGCCAGTCCGAATTCTGAAACTGAAGAAACGGGAGTCTGGTGTTCAAGGGCCTTACCTCTGAAATGGAAGCATCCAGCACAGGAGAAAGGTACAGGCTGGGAGGCTAAGCCAGTCTCTCTTTTCACATTTTTCTGTCTGCTTATATTCTAACTGCGATAGAAGCTGATTAGATTGTGCCCACCCAGCTTAAGGGTGGGTCTGCCTTTCCCAGCCCACTGACTCAAATGTTAATCTCCTTTGGTAACACCCTCTCAGACACACCCAGGATCAATACTTTGTATCCTTCAATCCAGTCAAGTTGACACTCAGTATTAACCATAACAAGGGGTATATATCTATATCCTGAGTTTTCTTCATCAAACTGTCAGAGACAGCCCCTTTCCCACCCATCTCCCCGGCCTCTTTTTTATCTTTTTTTTTTTTTTTTTTTGAGGCAGGGTCTCGCTCTGTCACCCAGGCTGGAGTGCAGTAGCATGATCTTGGCTCACTACAACCTCTGCCACCCACGCTCAGGCAATCCTTCCATATCAGTCTCCCAAGTAGCTGAGATTACAGGCACGCACCACCGCATCCAGCTAATTTTTGTATTTCTGGTTGAGACAGGGTTTTACCAACCATGTTGCCCAGGCTGGTCTCGAACTCCTGAGCTCAAAGGATCCACCCACCTCAGTCTCCTAAAGTGCTGGGATTACAGGCGTGAGCCACCGCACCTGGCCTCCTTTCCCCTTCTTTAACTCAGAGAACATTCTCCAGAGAAAGGCTACTTGAACAAAATAGATGCTTTCAATTTTGCTTATATCTTTAGAAAAACCATGACAACAGTGATTTGCATTATTTTAAATCACATCTATTGAGAATTCGCTTCGTGCAAAAAGCCCTGTGCTACATGTTGTTGTGATCAAGACAGCCTTCCTTTCCCAGGAACTGAGTTCAGTGGGAGTTCTGGGTCACGCCTCCGAAGGGGTCACTTGTTTTCTGGGAGATGTGAATTTAAACTCTGACCCTACCTGAGGGTGTTGACAAAATCAGTGGGGGATGCAGATCACAGAGCCGAGGGGGGATGGAAGCAAATACCGCAAAGAGTGTGAAAGTATCGTTACTAAGAAAGGATATTTCTTACTTTACA